AATGTAATCAATACAGTCAGCCCTCCATACCCATAGACTCCACATCTGTGGATTCAACCAAACTCTTGAGTCAAAAATATTATGGGAAAAAAAAGCCACAAAGTTCTGCAAAGCAAAACTTGAATGTGCTGAGTACTAAGACAAATCCATGGGAATGAAGTATGTGTAGGCATTGTATTAAGTATTATAAAATAATCTAGAGATTATTTAAAAGATATGGGAGGACATGTGTAGGTTAAAAGCAAATATATGCATTTTATATAAGAGACTTCAGCATACTTGGATTCTGGTATTTAGAGGGGTTCTCTAACCAATGCCCTGTGAATACTGAGGGATGACTGTGCTGGTATTTTTATGTTGGGAGATCAGGAAAGGCTCAAAGGACATGAGATTTGAGTTGACATCCGAATGACAAGACCAGTCTTGGGAAGATTAGGGAAGATAGGTGAGAGAACTAATGCTAAAATGCTGAGCAGATACAACTGTGCCCAGTTTGAGGAACTGAAAGAGACTATTGTGTCTGGCAAGTGCTGGGTTAGGAAGAGAGTGGTATGAGGAGACATTGCCCTTCCTTCAGGAACTTGCAGGAAAACAGCTCAGTCATCACACAGACAGCTTCTGACACCTCTCTTCTTTTGGAACAAACCACAGAGGGCTTCAAATTTACAATAGTCTACAGAGCAGAAAAAGCAGGACATTTTGTTTAAAAAGTCTCCCCGTCTCCTCTAGGCTACAGTTTCCTTATCTGTAATCAAAGGGATGGAATGGCAATATTAACCCCGGGAGCAGAGTTAATGGCAATCGCCATGCACCCAGCCTGGCACAGAGCAGACTCCGTCTCCAAAAAAAAAAAAAAAAACAAGGCTCTACTTATCCTTTCCCAAATCGAATTTCCCAGGAGGTTACAATTCCAGAACAGAGAGACCATTGAGCCACTTAGGAAAATGTCCCAGTCCATCGCAGAAGAGACATGAGCCAAAAATGCCCAGACTCGAGCAGAGATGCCCCGTGGAGCCTCTTCCACTGTGGTCAGTAGCGGTGCAACACATGGCAGACCCCGACACTGCCCAAAGATGGCTTTTTTCTGATGAGCATTTCCCATGTACCTTTTGAAAACTGTGCAGAGGAAACCAAAAGAACAAAAAATATTTTACCAAATCTTCTATAAACTTGCCTGTTTCCCACAGACAATAATCTTATCAACTGGCAGCTTGAGGGAAACGTGAACCTAACACCAAATTTCTTCTCTCTCCTTCCTCATTCTCAGACTATCAACGCTTTGGTTCTCCATTTTCAACCCACAACAATTCTATTTCTTGTAGTACTAATCTGCCTAAGAACTAAAGACTTCGGTTACTATTTTTATCATTTCTCATAGTTGAACAATGCCTGTCTTTTTACAAGAATAAATTTACATGCCAACCCCAGATGTGCTAAGAGCAACTGCGTTGTTATAAAAATGACCATTCAATATTATCCAATTACATTGACCGCAGTAATTTAGATACACCAGAATCTGATTCCAAAGATTTCATAGCAATTCTTGTGATTTTAATAAGATCTTAAATTTAATTCCTTTTATTTGAATGGCATATACGTGAAAATGCAAGGCATTTGCCAGTAGAAGGGTGTCAAAAATTAAATTATGCAGTGATATCCAGTCTGAAATTACTGAAAGAGCAAAAGGCACAAGAAGTAAAAATCATTACTGTATAATAAGGAACTGAAACCTTTCCCTATTATTTTAACATTACTGAGTATTCACAAGGCAGTACTGCCTAACATAGAGGGGTGGTCAAATAAATAATCAAGTGCTATAAAATAAAATTCTTTCTCTCATTAAGGTTTAAGAGTGATTCAGAAATCTAGACTAGAAAAATGAGCTAACACATAGGGACATTATTACTCTTAAGAAATGAGATTTGCATTCTTTTAGCAAGTTATTACTATCCATTTCTTTCAAATCTTTCAAAAATTCAGCTTGAAGCACATGAGACATTCTACTCCCCTATATGACATGTAACAATTGAGGCAAACCTAATTCTTTCCTGATTTTTCAAATAAAATTCTTTCACCCTGAATGTTCTTCCCAATGTCCTTATCTCTAGTTCTAAGAAAATTCCAGCAGGGCACAGTGGCTCACACCTGTAATCCCAGCACTTTGGAAGGCCAAGGCAGGTGGATCACCTGAGGTCAGGAGTTCAAGGCCAGTCTGGCCAACATAATGAAACATAATGAAAGCCCGTCTCTACTAAAAATACAAAAAAAATCAGCCGGACGTTGTGGCAGACCCCTGTAATCCCAGCTACTCAGGAGCTGAGGTAGGAGAATCGCTTGAACCTGGGAGACAGAGGTTGCAGTGAGCCGAGATCGCACCAACGCTCTCCAGCCTGGACAACAAGAGCAAAACTTTGTCTCAAAAAGAAAAAAAAAAAAAAAATTTCATTAATTGGTCAAGGTCTATCTCCAGTGTTATAGTACTTCCCTTAAGAGGCAGCACAGTGTAGGCTGGGCGCGGTGGCTCACACCTGTAATCCCAGCACTTTGGGAGGCCGAGGCAGGTGGATCACGAGATCAGGAATTCAAGACAAGCCTGGCCAAGATGGTGAAAGCTCGTCTCTACTAAACACACACACACACACACACACACACACACACACACACACACACACACACAATCAGTGGCAGCTGCTTGTAATCCCAGCTACTCAGGAGGCTGAAGCAGGAGAATTGCTTGAACTCGGAGGGCAGAGGTTTCAGTGAGCCGAGATGGCGCCACTGCACTCCAGCCCAGGTGACAGAGTGAGACTCCGTCTCAAAAAAAAAAAAAAAAAGAGGCAGCACAGTGTAATATTTAAGGGTGTGAGCTGGAGCTCTACCTGGCTCCAGCTGGTTGGTTTCAAATGTGCCCCCTCCCAAATGAGAAGCCTTGAGAAAGACACTTATCACCTCTCTGTGGTCTGTTTCCTCTTTTCTAAGATGGGGATAATGATAATTCATATTACTTCTAAGGCTATAAGTAATAAATGAGTTAGTTTATGTAAAGCTTTTAGAACAGAATACTCAAAAAATGCTATTATTATATTTACATAGCTTTTAATGATAGTCCAATAAGGTGTAATATCTTCTTTATTTTATTCATTTGACAAAGTACTTGGTACCGCTGAGGGATAAAAAGCATTAGAACCCTGAAATAAAAGAACTGACTGCCTAGTAAACAGATCACTGACACTGTAAGTGTTTTATTTCCGCATTGTTTCTCAGAGTCTGGTACAGGACTACTTGCAACAGAAATACCTGGTGTTACTGCTAAAATGCAGTTTCCTGGACTCCATTCTGGTCCTAATAAATCAGAATCGCTTGGGAAGGGCAAGCAGGTGTTCTTAGGCATACTAAAATTTGGGAAGTACAGTATAAGAAGTACAAAGAGGATGCTTTGAAAAGATAGAGAAGGAAAAACTCTCAGTTATTCATCTTACTCTATTTTTATTAACATTATGCATATTTATCTTATTCTCAGATTAAAATAAATTCCCTAAGGTCAGGTATGTAATTTACTCATCTTACTTTTTTAAGTAAATTGAATGGCCTAATTGGGCATTTGTCTAAGTAGAGATACACGAATTTAAGCATTTCACATTGTAGAAAATATTTACATGTCTATATGTTGTATACTCCATAGCATGCTGTTGGTAATCTGCTACATGATCTTCAAAGTTTCAATAGAATTTGATGTTAACAACTTTCTTAAACTCCTTTCTATTTGTAGCTCCTGAGACATTGTCCTATTCTAACTTTCCTGCTGCCCTATAACTACTCTCTGCATTCTACTAGTTTTATTACTTATTAGCTGACAACCTTGAGCAAGTTACTTAATGTCTCTGAGCCTCAGGTTTTTCAATGATAAAATGGAAATAAAAGGAGATTAATACTTCCTGTTTATGTCTGTCATCATAATCAAATATAAAGATACTGGATGCTTTCCAAATGTTAATTCCCTTTAGGGGCTCCTTATCTCCCTTATCACTTCATGAATGTTCCTAAGGTCCTACCTTGGATCTTTAATCTCAGCACTCTCCCTTGGCAATCTCATCTAGTCTCTTAATTTCACCAATTACTTCTGGCAGGTGACCTTCAACATGTCAAAATAGAATTTTTAATTTCCCCCCTTCCAAATCAATTTTCTTCATCTAGGATATTTCCCAACTCCTTCAGATGACATTCACTCACCTAACTCATCCTTCAAGATCCAGTTTCCATGTCATTTGCTTTATAAACACAGCATTCGCCTTACCTACAGCAAGAACTGATTCTCCTTAGTCTGAACTCACAGCATCTGTTTATAGCTCTGTTTATGGACCTTATCTTATCTGTCTTGTATGATAAATGATACTACCAGTACTCCTTGAGTACAGGGTCTGGTGTTTGTCTCCCTTCTCCTTCCAGTACGTAATACATTCCCTTGCATACTGCAAACATTAAATTACTACATTAAGTAATTTTAAAATTTATAGTGCATATTAGTATGATTTCTGAAAGTTCTAGATCAGCCAATTTCTATAAATAAAATCATGTAACAATGGTAGCCATAATAGAAGGCTATAAAGCAATAAATGAGTTTTAAGGCAGTCCCCGCAAAATGCAAATAGAGAAACCAAACAATTACATTAGAACGTGTGGCAGCGATTTTTCAATTTAGAAAAGCCTAAATATTGAATATTCTTCTTATTGCAAATCCCAAAGAATCCCAAGCCCCTGACTCCTGCCCTAAATATTGCATAAAATATGCAAATGTGAAGGCTGTTTCCCTGACCATGAGGAAACAATCCTAACTCAGCCTTCTTTAACTTCCGGGACTCTGCGGATTGCTGTCTAATCTGAGGCACACAGGACGGAAAGCTTCAGAAGCTCCCAACAGTCTTCAGGAAAGTGGCACAGAATTCTAAGTGCAGACTGGCAAGAAGAGGAGGATGAGGAAGAGAAAGGGGCAAACCCCCTACCTGGGAGCGGGTGCACCATCACAGGAAGGAAATCCACTGCAGTGGCAGAAAGACTCCTGATAAAATGGAGAAAGACTCGAAAAAACATTTTCATATTGAGCAGATCCCGTGATTTCCAAATCCTCTCACACTGGCAGCTTTGAGTTCTACTAAACAATGAACACGCACAGAACTGCCTGGACTGTCCCTCCCTTACTGACAGGTCGAAGTGAGGAGGAGGCTTAAGGGGCAGGGCTTTTTCCATGACAACTGTCCAAACAACCTATCTTTAATAAGCAGCTGTTTGAAATATTAAAATTAGACCACCAGTAGTGGTCTCCCCCTCCCTAAACTTTTCTTTTTCAAACCTGTTCACACACTATACTTAAGTCCGTTTATCTTGATGCACAGCATCAATTTTATTATGCCACTCTTCTCTTCTGGATAAAGTCCAAATTTAGACTGCCACTAGAGGACTCTACAATCTGGCAACAATTTACCTTTCATTCTTTTTATCTGCCTTTAAATCACTTCATCCTTCCTTTTCTTTTCTATTCATTAATTTTACAGAACATTTTCTGACAATCTAGCATGAGTGAAAGTATGCCCTCAAAATGTATATGACGTTATTAATTTAACATTTTTAGCACCAATGTATCAAATACTGTGCTACAAAGAAAGAATACCAAGAAACAAGATTGTCCCTGCTCTCCAGGAGTTTAGACCATACACTATTCCCCTTCATGAATTTTCATCCTAGCAAAGTGACTAACATACCATGATACGTTTGTTCTTCTGTGCCACTGAAGAAACTTTTCTCCTGCCTGAAATATCCCCTTTCCTTTTCAAAAATCCAGTAACTTCCAGTAACTTCCACAGCACTGCCACAGAGTTGCTTTTAACATTAACATATCATGTTTTCCTGGCAAAATTGTAAGTATATTTCAAGAAAGAAGTGGTTAAATTTGTCAGAAGGAAGTGTCTTAATACATCTAGCAGAGTACAAAGATGGTTTGGTATATATTTTGATTAGTAATCAATGAAAAATAACTTACAAATTTGTAAGACTTTATTGAAATAGTAAAGAGTAACATCAGAAGTGTAAATTAAAGGGCAGTGGTATTCCTACAATAGCATTTCTCCAGTTGTGAGATTTTTTTTTTTTTTTTTTTCTGAGACAGAGTCTCACTCTGTCACCCAGGCTGGAGTACAGTGGCACAATCTCGGTTCACTGCAACCTCCACCTCCCGGGTTCAAGTGATTCTCCTATCTCAGCCTCCTGAGTAGCTGGGACTACAGGTGTACGCCATGATACCTGGCTACTTTTTTTCATTTTTAGTAGAGACAGGGTTTTGCCATGTTGCCCAGGCTGGTCTCAAACTCTTGACCTCAAGTTATCTGCCTGCCCCAGCCTCTCAAACTGCTGGGATTACAGGTGTGAGCCACCATGCCCGGCCAAGATAATGACTCTTGTCTATGTGGATGGTACCAAAACCATCCAAATTTGATTTTAACAATAAGCCTTCATGATTAGGCTTTCAGGCACCTTTATACTAGAAGGTATAACAATTCTGAACAGTAAACACATTGTGGCTTAAAATCAGTTCTCCAGTCTTAATCATATCAAATGAAATGATCAAATCCATTTTCTGAACCTTCAAAAGGAAGAACTAGATGTTGAACAATAGTGATACCATCAGGATATAACAAGTATATTATGAAATCTAGTCTGAAACAATCTGTTGGCCTTATTTTTCATATTAGTAATAAATGCTTAGAAAAAGAACATTTCTTAATGATGGTAGGTCAAAATCCAGACGACATGTCGTATTAACTCACAAACCTTCTGGTTGTATTTAGTTTTTAAAAAATTTCCTTTTGGCCGGGCGCAGTGGCTCATGCCTGTAATCTCAGCATTTCAGGAGGCTGAGGCGGGTGGGTCACCTGAGGTCAGGAGTTCAAGACCAGCCTGGCCAACACGGCAAAACCCCATCTCTACTAAAAATACAAAAATTAGCCAGGTGTGGTGGCAGGTGCCTGTAATCCCAGCTACTCAAGAGGCTGAGGCAGGACAATCGCTTGAACCTGAGAGGCAGAGGTTGTAGTGAGCCGAGATCATGCCACTGCACTTCAGCCTAGGCAACAGAGCAAGATTCTGTCTCAAAAAAAAAAAAAAAAAAAAAAAAGAAAGAAAGAAAGAAAGAAAGAAAGAAAAAGAAAAAAGAAAGAAAGAAAAAACTGAAAAAGTTTCCTTTCTTTCCTTCTTTTTTTAGAGACAGAGTCTCACTCTGTCACCCAGGTTAGAGTGCAGTGATGCAATCATAGCTTGCAGTAGCTTCAGACTCCTGGGCTCAAGTCATCCTCCCACTTCAGTCTCTCAAATAGCTAGGATTAGAAATGGGAGCCACTGCGCGTGACCAAAAAAAAAAAAAATCATTTCTAATAATTACTTTGTTGACCTCCAACCTATTCTGTGCCACCACCTCTATCAACCCAATAGTTTTTTCCAGTTAACCAATTTTCTTTAGCAAATATTATTTTATTTCACTTTTGTCATCTTTTCTTATATGAGTATTCATGTCATGTGGTGTTTATGCCTTAAAATAGTAATGTAACGAAATGAGATTTTATTTTAGAGTTTAGAAGGCAGCAAGGCAAATGTGCAGTCTCCCTTAGGAATAACAATTCCCTGTAGTAGTATTTGCAATTTTCGGATTGCTTATATTGGAAAAATATACATGTAATAAACTGAACCGTCTATATGATTGAATAATGGGTGCTATTGTGTTTAAAAATCTGGTTAACACAGCTATCCCGTATAGTAATATATAATACAGAAAGTTTTCAGTAAAATCATAGTAGTACTTTACATCAAAGGGATAATTTTTTTTAGCTAGATGAGTAGTATAGATCCTCCAGTCCAAATTCAATTTCTCAATTATAATAGGATTGAAGTGACCTCCCAAGGTCATCTTGTTGTTTAAGCCCATCTATTTACTTCTGGATCACTAATCTTTATCCCATACCACACTGCTGATAATGTTTCTAAATATAATTCATTAACTGCATATGTTGATGTGGTCGATGTGTAAAAAAGTCAACTCATACAAGGTTTTGGTGAGTAATTTCTGGTTTTTATTTTACTATTTTTACCACAAGAAAATAATTTTAAGCCAAGAGCTTCTATTAGTCATACATAATAACTAACAGTGAAAATAATCAAATGGAAATAGCACACGGTTACGTCATTCTATTCTAAGAAACTGGAAAAATCACCTCTAAGGTTTTCATCTTTTATAATCTTGACCACAAAAAATTTTTTCAAAATTATCTCCAAAACTATCTGATATTTAAACAAAATATTCTAAAAGAAAAAGTATGATGTTATTAAACATTATAAATTAACTGAATCCTGTTTTAGAAGTTTAAGAAACACCAAGAAGTTTAAGGAAAAAATAAAAGAATCCACATAAGATTTAAATAATTTACACTTCTATAAAATGTACTAAATATTTGACCCTCAAAAGAAAAGTGACGTAGCTCATGTTAATGTCCAGTTTAGGACATTAACACGAACATTAATATTAACATTAAGGAATTTTAAAGTTCCCTTTTAAATCTAGAAATTCAAAGAGTTTCCCCTTCTCTATTCAAAATATACATTTTCTTTAACAACTCCAGAGCTTTCAAAGCATAAATGTCATTCTTTCATTATAACAATAATAGATTTAAATTATCAGCTTATTTCAAGTATATATTTTATCTGTGTAATGTGTTTGCAATCACTGTAAACCTCTGTCGCAGGAACTCTCTTTTTTGTATTAGAAAGTTTTCAATAGTATTGGCTTCTTTGAAGAGTTCATCTATCTCATCAATGTAAGATGCATCTACTGCTGCTCTCTCACTAATAGGAAAAAAAGTTGTATATTAAACTAAGTAGATATAAACAACATCATTATGTTGTTCTTCATTACATTTGTTAACTATTTCATTTAAATGGCTTTATGTGCCACAGAACTTCATTAATTTACTAATACTCTTTGGAAAAAAATTAGTCCCACAAATATTTTTGACTACTCAAAAAGGTCTCCTGACAAAACAGGAAATGTATCTAATACATTATCAACACTAATATTCAATTATATACATTATTTTTACAGCCACATAAACCACCATCCAAGTATAATGACTGTCCAGCAGTGTTAAAAAAACACACACACACTTTATAAAACATGATATCAGGCTAATAAAATATTTAAATTTGGTCTTAAAATAAATATAGGTAAAATATAAATGCAGTCATCCCTCAGTATCCATGGGGTATTGGTTCCAGAATCCCCCACGGATACCAAAGGAACATCCCTCATAGATATTCAAGTCCCTTATATAAAACATCATACTATTTGCATATAACCTAAGAACATTCTGCCATATACTTTAAATTATCTCTTGATTACTTATAAGACCAATACCATGTAAATGCTATGTAAACAGTTGTTATACTGTATTGTTTGAAAAATCATGACAAGAAAAAAATGTCTGTACATGTTCAGTACAGACACAACCATCCTTTTTCTCCCCAAATATTTTCTATGTGTGGTTGACTGAATCCACAGATTCAGAATTAATGGATGTGAAAGGCTGACTTTCTATGACATAAAAGTATTTATCTTTAATATCACTCTGTTATCATTAATTTCACCAAACATTTTTCTCAAAGAGGTATTTACATAAAATTTAAAATGTAACGTCATCTAATTACAGACCAAGATATATACAATCTAGTATTAGCTTGGCAAGAGTTAAAAAAAAAAAAGAATTTTTAGTGGAAAAGTTGACGCTATTCTCTGAAAATAACCAACTAATCTATTTTAAGGGACTGAAGTAGAATAAAAAATTCCAACGTTTTAATTACTGGAGAGGTTTGCCAGCCACAGAGTTAAACTTCCCGTTACAGAGTTTCCAGAAGAAAACTAACATAAAGACCCCAGAGAATATACTATAAGTACTTGCCTTAAAAGCTTTGCATAGGTAGACAACATTAGATTAATTTCCTTGCTCACATCTGTTCAAGAAAAATCATATAAGTTATAAAACGTAACAAACCTTCTGCATTATTAAATTGATGTTTAGAAATATAAACATTTTATACATCACCATTTAAATCTTTCTCCAAGGCTTCATCTTTATAAAACAGTCCAGAACTTTCAGAGAAAGATGA